CGTCTTCGTTGGGCAGTGGATGATAGAAGGCTCACTGCCCCCCCTGCACTGCACAATCAAACTTCTCAGAGAGTCTTTGCAAACAGAGTTTTTACACACACACACACCCGCACGCTTTTTTCACAACTCCTGGCCAACCCGCCAACTTTGGACGCTAGGGCTAAGACAAAAGACCTACCCGACCTATCCTTCCGAACTGCACATGACTGAGGCGGCAACGTGAGCTTGCGCTAGCGGTGCCTCGGGGTAGGCACTCCCTTCTCATCAAAACCGTGCTGTTAGGTCCTAAACGCTAAAGCCAAGTGTTCTCAGGCTCTGACCAAGTTTGGCGGCAAGCCCAACTCCACGCAGCCTAACCTTAGGTCAAAAAGCTACTTGCTTGCTTGGTGCAGATGATCGCAGCTTAACAGGCATCTCCTCTCGAAAACACATCCTGCAACGTCGAGAATCGAAGCTGTCTGAGCTCAGGGAAACCAAGGCGCCGGATCTGGAGCCAAGGCATCAAAGAGCTGTTGTGCAGTCCTCTCGGGCGCTTTGCGGCGCGAAAGCTGACAGCCCTAAAACAACAAAGCCCTCGCAGCCTGAGGAGAACGGCGGGCTCCTAGGCTAAAAGGCTGGTGCAATCTTTTGCATCTCTCTTCGCTCTATCTCCTTGCTGTCTGAGCTACGTTGCTTGCATCAGGAAGGGGTGCAGAGCGACTCACGTCGTCGCACTGGCCATGGCCACCTCTCTTGATCGGCTCTACCTCCGGCTCCGAAACAGCTGCTTGAATGTAAATGCCGTTGCCAGAGTGAGGCAGGCACCCAACCCGGCACGGCAAGCTTGAGCTTCAAGGTCAGATGAATGGCACCTGGATCGGACAGTGGAACTTTCCATGCCCGTCATCACCCTCGCGCAGCAACCCGAGGCTGTCAACCGAGCTTCAGAGGCGTAAATGGCTCTGGGACATGGACGCAAATCGCAGGCAAGAAGACGCTCGGAAAGCTGTTGCGATACCTGGTGGCTGATAGGACGAGGTATCGGCCAGCCATGTGGTGAGCAAGGGACGAACCATCCCTGTTGATCAGGGGCCTCTGAGAGGACCTTGACGGCAGCAGCTCGATCTTGGCATCGAATTCCCCAATTCCTAGCTCGTCATTTCGTCTGCTTCTCGCAGTGGCTGGGAGCGGCATGCAAAGGGCCAGCAATGGCCAGCATGCTCACAGTGCGGTCAAGACGCATTTCAGCACTGACGGACCTGAGAAAACAGATCTATAAGCACAAGCACCGTTCGGGCAACTGCCCACTGCAAGATCCCGACTTCCTTTGCGCAGGTGCAGAGCTGACAGCGTTCGCCTGGAGGGCTTCTGTAGGCACTACCCCCATGAGTGGACCCCCGACTCCGAGATACTCCGAGCCTGGTCGAGGCCTTGCGCGTTGAGCCAAAGAGTCTCGCCCTTGGCGCCAAACCTTGAAGCCAGTAAGGCTGCGGGAAAGCTCAAGGAGTCACGCGTCCTCTGGCCCCAGTGCAAAAGGCTGCTGCAGGCCAGTGTGGCATTCCTCGCTCCACCCCTGCTCTTTCGGTGATTCTGATTAAGGTTGCTGGTCTCCCTTGCAGGGAGTCGTGCCGCTGATGTTCTGGTCATGCGCAGGCCAATCCAGCTTGTTGGTTTCCGACGAAAAAACTTTTGGGAGAGGAGCCAGGATGCAGAAGAGTTGCTACTGTGCAGTCAAGCGTCCACTCACGCAGTCGTCCCTGCCTGCATGTCATTGTGGCCGAGTTCCATGCAAACAAGTGGCTTCAAGATGTTCCACAGTAAGGCTGTGGCTCCAAAGATTGGATGTCCCTGCAGGTTTCCAACCCACGCTCCTGCCACGCAACGACCGCTGATAGGTCGCCCTGCAAGCCGTCAAACCAGATGCACAGTACTTGCTAGACCCGACACTGTGTCTGGAGCACTGGACGTGTCGTTGCCTTCCTATCGGACGACCTACACCCACAACCAACTTCGCCTGCAGCTTTGCCGACATGGCATGCCCAACCTGTGCATCAAAACACATGCCCACAATTGGAAAGTGGGGGATGACATGGGGAACGCAGCTGTCCAGTCTGTCCACACAGTTTGCAAGAGACAGCAGTACGATGCAGCTCCAAGCATTTTCTTTTCGCGATGGGGCTGCAAGCCCAGGGAAGTCATCCCTGGCCGGGCTGTCTTGCACCGGACAGAACCGGGATCTTCGTGACACCTCCATGTCTGTGGCCGAAGCCCTGTGTGCATGGCAGCTTTGACTGGGTTGACAGCCGTCTGCTCTTCAGCATGCCAGATGTGCTCTCCGATAGAAACTTGCTCGGCTGCCATCATGCGCCAGGCTCCACCGATAGCTCCTGTTCGATTATTCTGGTGGTCGATCCACTGGAACTACTTGACGCAAGCTGGCACGTACAGGTCGTGCGCCTGTCTCGTTAAGCCGGCAAAAGACAGTGTCAAAAGCCGAAAAGGCTACACTGGGGCCTCCGCCGCAGTCACATAGGAGGAGTTCGCCTTTCAATGCTTGATGTGGCACAGCACGGCTTCTGAATTGGCTTTCTGGACCGTGCTTCAGCTTCTCAGCTTCTGGCTTCTGCTCGTAGCCCGGATAGCCTGGCAGCTAGCAGAGATCGAAAACGCAAACGTCCTGTCAACACACCAGCGCTCCGGCCTCGAAAGACTCAGCGCTCTGAACAATGGGGCAACCTGACGCTGCAACAACTCCACGGTCGAAGTCCTGCAGGCACTGGCACAGCTAGGGCTGTTGCCGCGGAATGTTTCTCGCCCGGATCAGGCTCGTCCTGTGAGAAACTGCATATTGCACAGCCACACCCCCGGGACGAAGGACTCGATAAAACCTCACGCAGAAGCTTGGACGGTGTTTGGCAATGAACAGACTAGTAATGCTGGAGAAGATGAGTGTGTCAGTGTGAAAGCCGGGGTCTTCACTGCAGCGCTTCGAAGACACACATCGGAAGGCCCCAGTTTTCGAAGCGCTGTTGCTCCCCAATATATCTGATGATCAAGCTGGGAACGCTGAATGCACATGCAGTGCTGCTAACATGGTTTTCGTTCGGCCTCGGGCTGATGTTCAAAGGGTCATAGAAGAGTAGGTTGTACGACTGTGCTGGAAGCTCTGGCAGAATCTTCTGCCACGGTCCTTCGTGAACGTGGAAGGCCTTGACAGTGCCCTGCCAGGGATGCAGCTTCAGGATATTGCAGTTCCAGCGAAACACACAGCAACAGCATGCTGAGAGTTAAGACGCTCGAAGCATGACGATAGGCCAAGCCATTGCATGCAATCTGGTTTATGCTGCCTGGTCCTAGGCCTGGTCCTAGCCCTCCGTCAGTCGTCGTGCCAGTTTATTCTCTTGGCGGCTTTTGCTTATCGCTGGAAGCATCAATCCTCTGAGGGATGGAGCCATCGTCCTGCCTTCTTTCTTGTTTCGGCCTCCCGTCGAGCGTCTGCTGCCACAGCGGGATGCAGTTCCACAACCTCATACTCGATTTGAAGTTGTGGCAAGCCACTTCCTGGCGCGACTGGCAAAGGCGAAGGCGACCCGGAAGTGAAGCTGTGCAACCTCAGCTGCCAAAGTCCTGCTCTCTCCGCATTCTCCAGAAGCCGACGACCGCTGATCCCCTGCAGGGGCGTTGCGTTAACTATGGCGATCCTTCCTCTGACTGTGACTGCGGACCTCTTGGCTTCCGGCCTGGCCCCATCCAATCTCGAGGATTCGGAGACTTGAGAGGCCGCCAAGTCGTGCGTGGCGCAGGGCAAGGTCAAAACCCACGTCCGCCAAGGCAAACATGTAGGGCCACTCCCAGTCCTCTGGCAGAGGGGTCGCAGACTCTAGAGGTCTTGAAAGACATGGTACCAAGCCCCCTGCCTGCATCAGCTGAATCTGGCCAGTTGCTCCGCCTTTAAGATGCAGGTGCCTTCCGAAGGATTGCTTTGTCCCAAGGACTCCCACTTCCGCCTCCTCAATCGCAAGTTGGGTGAAGCTCTTCCACATCTTCTCCTCCCAACACCGTGACATCCCAGCTCGAGCATCCTTCTTGAGAGGTACGGTACCGCCACACATCACCACACCGACCACACCTCCTGAGGAGAGATCGTCATCCTTTGGAGCTGCGCGGCGACCAGCGCAGCCAAGTCCATGAAACGCAACTTCCGTTCAGTTGCTCGCCCTGGCCGGGTTCCCAGCTGAACGAGATTGTGCAGATCTCCTGGAGCAGGGAGAGCTCCAGAGTGGCTGCCTATCATTGTCTATCGTGACCAAGATCCGCCAAGATTCGACCAATCCATCGACGAGGAAAGCAGAAGAGCAACTCTGGCCGGTGCATCGCGTCTAATCGCTTGGCTGAGGCCTCCAATGCTGCCGACCTCGGCATCAGTATGTGGCGTACACAGTGTCTGGGCCCTGGGCCAAGCAAATCTGTGCAGGTGAAGGGCATGTCAGCAAGACCGGCATAAACCATTGTCGCCGCATGCTCGCAGTCAGCCAGCTGCACACCTGCTGCCGCTTGATCTGCGTCAGAGGCCAGTGCCACGAGTCCTCTGGTGCTGGGGCTAGGATTCATGCTGGAGTCGTCACACCAAGGTGGTAAAGACGAGACGCCACGATGAACCTTCAGTCCTTGTCGCACTCGCTGCCAAGCTGAGAGCAGGGCGGCAGCTGCGCCGGCCGATACTTCTCGCAGCGAGCCTTCGCCCTTCAGGGGCTGATCATGTCCTGGCGAAGATGGCAAGCTTTTAATTGGTTTAACTTGCTGATGCTGATCTGAGAGACTTGTGGCAGGTCCCCTGCGTGGTGCCGCCCAAACAGCACCGCCTTCTCTCATCCCGTTCACATGGCACACGCTGTCTGATCTCTCAAATTCGGGACTGCTGTGTGCATGAAGCTGGTTTCTGTGTGCAACAGCTCAACGTCTTTGTTCTCTCGGTCGCTCAGGATGAATTGGAATACTGCTGGGCAGCTTGACTTGCTTTGAGCCGTTGCTGAATGCATGCAGTCTTGAGCTGTATAAGCCGGCTTGTGCATATCCTGACCCAGGCATGCTTAGATGTAGCTCTGAACATCTCTGAACTGCCCTGGTGTTTTAGACTCGGATGCCGATGTGCTCAGCTAGTGCTTTCGGCAGACGTTATCCGGCTCAACAGTCGGAGCCATGCTGTAGCCAGCTGTCCGGCCATTATCCTTGCTCGGTTGCAAGACTTTGCTTGATGTGAAGCGAAGAGGCTCTGGGAGTCCCGGGGAAGTCCGAGATCCTTCTTTGGAGCTCCAGTCACGGCCGGCCGAGCGCCCTGACAGGCGCATCAATGCAGAACTGGCTTGAGGCAAGAACTCGCAAGGCAGGAAAGTGTGAAGTTCAAAGACCAGCTCAGAGCTTTGCCGAGATGCGCCCTCCTCCGATCAGCGAGCTCAGCGGCCCAGGTCGGCTGCAGCGGCCCACGGGCATACTCAGCTCCTCCAGGGCTCTTCGAGCCCTTCAGGCCAGGGGGTCTTGGGCTTCGCCAAAAGGGCCCCCTTTTCTACCGTCTCCTGCAATCACACCCTGGCTGACTCCGGAGCCAGTTCCTCCATACCCCGACCGAGCCAGTTTGAATGGATTCCTGACGTCACAGAACCATGCTGAGCCGACATAAAGGAAGAATTTCTGCTGGAACAGGTGCCCAAGGAAAAAAATACGACAAGCTCGGCTCCAAGAATCGCAGCTTTGTTCTCATGGAGCCGAATCCCTGGCTCGGGAGCTTTCGAGTCCTGAGCGCAAGCAGCCTGTGTAAGCGCCGTTCCCATCAAGCTGAGCCCTGCCCGGTGCCTGCGAATCCTGTCCTTGCCCCTGTAAGTGTGCAATGAGTGGTGCACCTCGGTGAGGGTGTCGTGGGGAGAAGTTGACATCTCCGGCGTGGGCTCTCGCACGGATACACCGTGCCTTTAAATCTCCAACAGAACCGACAAGTCTCATGATTCCCTCAGGTCGGGGCTCTTTGGCATAGCCAGAACCCGAGGTGCTGTCGAGAAGGCCTTCTGTTGCGTGGGCACTGCCGCATTTCGCCTGACAGCACGCGAGACACCGTGAGCAGGTACTAGCACATGTCTTCTGAACTTCTGTAGCCCCACACTATACGTTCCTCGACGGTCCATCAACACCACGCCGCCATGTGCTTGAACCAATGCCGTCCCGGGCCGCCCAACTCTCGACTTCCTAAAACTGTCAAACCGATCTGGCATCGGATCACCCAGTCGGAAGGATCTCCAACATGCAATATAGTTCACCATAGTGACTATAGGTCCTATGGCCCCGGGGACTGAATGAAAAATGTCGGACGATTAGCTGGCCTCAGGTCCGGTCCTTGTGAATCCATGGCCGCGCCGCCGCGCCGCTGGGCCAAGACTAAATCCCAGCTTCAATGTCTTCTGCTTCCCTTGAGCCCCAAGCTTCCGGGATCCCTGTAAACTGACCCTGCCAACCGGGACCAACGAAGGCACTTTGTGTCGCAGACAGTCGCAGGCCTGCGGCATGTCCCGCAAGGGCAGATCAGCAATGAATGGCCTGACCTTGATGGAATCGCCAGAGTGCACGTGAGCAAAATGCAGTCACAGGCACATGATGTCATGTTTGCTAATATTTGCTATATCCAGATTCCACGATACGGCCTCCTTCTGCAATACCCTCCGCTGTCCGTTTGGCTTGCAGGCCTGCATGTCGAGGAGCGCTTTCGGTTTGACACGGAAGAAACCATTTCGGCCCCAATTGCCTTCGTCGCGAGCTTCGCAACGAGTTGGCTTGGCCCGATGCCAACGCTGCAGGTGCAGCCTGAAGGCTCAAGGCAATTCAAGGTCCGGACGGATGCCGGGAGGATGTCTCTCCGGCCCGGGCATGTCTGCACACGAACGGCCTCGCGCAGGGCTTCTGCCCAAGCCAAGGGATCCTGCGATGCTTTGGCATGTGGGGGACTGGCTGGAGACTTGCAGATCTGTGGTTATCCCAAAGACCCCACGCATCTTCTAAGGCTGCAGCCCGCACTCCTTTCACCGACAATGCCTAGATGGGCTCCGCAACATCAACATTCTACCAGGTGCTGCTACAACCGGGGGCGCCACGGCCTCATCGCAAGATCTCATGAACACATGGTCTGGCTCGTCTTTGCAAGCCACCACCTCGAGAGTGCGCTTCAGGGAGAGGACTTGGAAAGCAATTTTGCACAACAAAGCTGCCAGCATGCGGTTTCTGCTGTGGCTGTGCTTCTGGCAAGCAGCTGGTATACCTGCCAAAACCCTAAGATCGCTAGTCAAGATTTACCGAGATCTTTGCTTCGATGCCCGCTGCGGTGCCTTCTTCCAGGTCTCTTCAACCTCGGGCGCTGTGTGCGTGAAGTGGAAACGCAGAACTCAAGGAAGCCACTCAGGTCTGCACGGAGCGAAGTAGCTCAGATGATATTGGAACCAGCCTCAACCTTGTCTCGCTTCCAGGATTCCAGCTGCTGGGGAACCAATTCGGGCCTGGGCTTGCTTTTTAGCTGAGCGTGTAACGATGGCAGAACTGACCGCGCTCGCTCAACAGACCAGAGATGAGTATTCACCTGAGCGAAGCAGCCCGCAAAAGCAAGATTTATGGAAGCAAAAGCCTGAGGAACACACGCCAGCGCGACGAGCGGCATAGTTCCTTCTACTAGTAGGAGATGTCAGGTTCGTCCAGTCGGGGGCACATTGTCACATTGTCGTACTTGCACAGCAAGAAGCGACCGTGCGCAACTGAGAATCTTGCGCTGAACATATTTCCGAACTGGCTCCCAGCCCAGAGACCACGGCTGTGGGAACCTGACGATCCAGTGAGATTCCCAGGCCAGAGCTGTGCAAAACGAAGCTTCTTGTGAAACCAATGGCAAGTGGGCCTCCTCCTCTGCTTCTGTCCCGGCCTGCGGGCAAAGCAGGTTAGCAAGTTCAACGAAGAAGTAAGTCGAGGCCGATACCGACTGGGCCATGTCACGAGTTGCTACGGAGGCGAAGAAGCAATCCATGTCCTCGGAATCTTGGTCTGGTTGCAAGGTGTTGTTCGTCGGCCGGCCGACTGGCACCATGCCAGGGCTTCTGCCAAATGAGCCCACACAGCCTCGGCATCATCTTGCTGAAGCACTGCCACCTCCTGAATGTTCGGAATGAAATTTGGCACCATATGCTCACACTTGCTTCCTTCGACTGGCCGTGCTAGGACACCGTGCCGAACGAGAGACATTGAGCAAGCTCCCGACTCGATGTTCAAGTCTAAGCAACATGCGCACTTCGGGGAAAAACAGTTGCAGCACTCGTCCTGACGCAGTCGGTCGGCCTGCTCTGGAACTTCTGGCCCTGGCAGACATGAGAACAGAAATAACCAAAGCGTCCTGCGTTTTGAGGAGCTGTTTCTCTTGAATGGCTTTCATACACACCTCCATTTTGGGCCTTACCCCGCGGTGGCTCGTTTTCTAGATGCATCTGTAGGCGTGCATCCTGATTCACACGAAGCATTTGCATCCCACCTCTCGGTGCACGTCGATACTCGAGGGCTTACGGCGCAATCTAACCACGTCCAGATAAATTAGAACTGGAGGCACCCATTCCTTCCTCGCAAATCGCACCTGCTCCGCCTCCACCAGCGGCACGCCAGCGCTCGAAGCGCTCCCGCCAGGTGCCCAGGAAATGCAAACCTCTGGGCCGCTCGCTGCTGCTGGGCCGAGGCCAAAAATGCATCAAACTCCGAGGATCTGACGGCTCGCGCGATGGAACTCGGCAACGTTGATTGGAAGCACGTCCTGGCCCTGGCGGCTCTCCTGGCGTGGCTTTCGATTTATTCCAAAATGCGCAGAAAGAGCATGGGGTCCTTCGTTTGTGCGGTCGCGGGCGGCACCTCTGTCACGGGTTCCTCGCTGCCAAAGTCGAAGCCTGTTCACCGAAACCAAGAGAAAAGACTTGACACGCACCATGGAGGAAGGCCTTCGTTTTCAGACTCCGACTCGGTAGGCGGCGGCGACTTCTCCTGCGTCAGAGGTTTTGGAGAGGCCTCCGTGAGTTTGGGACATTTTGGTGAATCGGCCTCAGGACCTTCTTGATCCTCGCGAGCTTTGGCGTTGAAGAAGGCGGTTATGCGAGGCCTCGGCAGTGGTTGAAGTAACAGCTCGCGGCCCTCGTGAAAAGCTTTAGCGCAGTGTGCTCAAGGTGAGACTGCGACCCGTGATGTTCGACCTGCAGCGCTGGCAGTAACGCCGGCAACATTCAGCACATGTCCACGGAGGACTTGGCCTTGACGAAATCTGTTGCTCCCAGAGCCAGGCGGCTGCAAGGGAAGGGGGAGCTGACCTTTCATGCAGATGTGACGAAGCTTAGAAACTGGCATCAAGAAGCCAAGGTCCAAACCCGCTCTTGCAAGAGCTTCCTTGCCTTGCATCAGGCATGAAGCACAGGATGCGAAAGCTGGTAGCATGTCCTGCAATATCACGCAGTTGCATCCAGGCTGCGGTCTCTGCTATGACTGATGCCGGGATTGGCCAGTCTGCTCCTGCAAAGTGCGTTGGGCAAACATGGTCGACTGATCTGTGTAGACTGGTGTCCAGCGGCGCTGCCAGGTTTTATGGACGCCACGGAACATTCAGGAAAAGCCTGGACGGCACCGGCACGTTCAGCTGCAGCTCTCATCCCAAACATACCACATCAAACACAAAGCACTGGGTTTGTGCAGCCAGGGCACGCACGATCTGCTGACTGTTTTTGTCAACTCCTCGGCAGCTCAGCAAGACTGACGGAAACATGACGTGGTAGGACCTGGTAGGATGCTTACATTGACCGCCTCAGGCCCCTGCAGAAGTGCGCCCTGGCAGGGTCTTCCAAAACCCGGGCTAACTTGAACGCGACATAACACGACGGCCAGGCCTGCCATCCAATTCTTCGCATGGTCCTGTGCATGCCGTCTTTCTAGGAAGCAATCTGCAAGCTGCTCGGCACTGGCTGCGCTCCGTATCTAGCCGGCCGCGATGATGCAAGACGAGCGTGCGCGGTCGACATGACGGATCCTTGGGCATCGTATGTTGAGTCAACGTCAACTGCTCTACGTGTACTAGGTTGGCCTAATGACACAGCTAAGCGAGTCCCAAGTGTCATCTTGTAGACGCCCGAGTAGTTCTGCTGACAGGCTGGCCAGCCACGGATCCAGATCTGCCATACCTGTCATCCCGTACATGCACTTGCTCGTTGAATGGTGCGAACATGCAAGCAGTGCTGAGGTGGATTGCTTTTAACACGCGATCATCCTGGCAGCACCTGATACGTGGCGTCGGTGAAATCCTCCCTTTCACCAAAAGGCCGTCCATGGAGGTTCGGCCGACTCTCGCCCTGGGCCCGGGTTGCAAGTCCATGGCTCCAAATATCAAATTATATCAGCTGCTCTCGTCGACTCCAACATCTGTGCGAGATATCCTACGAACCCAAGTGACACGAGGAAGCTCTGACGTCGGGACTGCCAAGTTGCTGCCTCTGACCATGAAGTGCTGCGACGATTCCTGCCACAAGAGGCAGCCGTGGGGATGGGAAAGGATGCTGACAGAAGCCTCAACCATGATCACAACGGGCATCGGTCCTGAACAGAAGAGCGCTCTTCTGCTGGATCCTGGAAGAAAGTCGAAACTCACAGTTTGGTGGGCTCCTTTACTCCGACTTTTTTTCGCACCAGACGCACCTCAACCGTCTGAAAACTCTCACGGCCAGCACGCTGCTGCCGATGAGGTAGATGACCACCAGGATCCAAAAGTACAAATAGCCTCGACGCATCGTCGCGCTCAGGCTGTGGCCAGATTTCGTCAACTGAAACGAACGAAGCCAACACGGCTGTTATCCATCGTCAATGGCTTCACGCGAAGGGAGGTGAGTTGCCCAGTGCATCCTACTTCACATGCGTGTGTACCTCCGCTGAACATGGGCCGGGATTCCGTACTCCAACTTGAGCTCGGGAATGGTAGGGTCACCGTCGACTGCGAAGTTCATGCCATAGACACCTGCAGCTCTTCCACGAACCGCGAAGTGCGAGAACCGCGAACTTTAAGGCTGGAGCCGGCCAGGAATTGCACGGGTGCAAAGAGCGTCGTGGCGGTAGTCAAGACGAAGAGAGTGTCATTCAGCCGCTCTGCGTGGCGATTCTGCTCCTCCTGCTCTTGCAATGCAGCATCCTGAAGCAGGCAGGCAGAAGATTTCCTCCCAAAAGCCCTGCCTCTGAGCGCGATCGTCCTTGGACTGCCGTCTTTGTGCGTCCGCCTCCCTGTTGACCACGGTGTCGTAAGCGGAAGCCAAAGCGGCACACCTGCCACGGTGAATTTTCGAAGCTGTGCTAGGTGATGTGTGACTCTCCAACACGAGACACTTACACACCAAAGTACACATGCTGAACGATTGAAAACTACTTGGCTTCGACGGACAAGCAAAGGCCGAAAGATCATCCAAGCAGACTGCTCTAGATCCTTCAAGCTGCTAAGCCTCCGGCTATGGAACGTAGATCTATGCAGAACCATACTACTCCCGCCTGTCAATCAAGTGCCCGGCATCTTCCAGGGAAACTTCGACATCGTCACCTATGTCCCGCAAGTAGCCAGCCAGCCTGATTCTTGACCCAGCTAAACCCCTTTCAAGATTCGACCGACGCTGTCTGACCATCCGACACTTCTTCAACCGCACGCCGCCTTCTGTCCACGCCTGCCTCGCTTACCCTCTCCACCAGTCTGCGCAGCATGAGCCGATGATTGCGCAAGCGTCGACAAACCACAGCCAGCTGGAGCCGGACAAGGGAGACCCGGGGCAGGGCAGACTCAGCCGCAGCCTCTGGCAGGAGTTAGAGGAGGAACTTGAAGCAACCCTGCCTCTGAAAGCCAACTGGCTGGCGGCACCTCCCACAGGGCATCTCAAACTCAGCTTCGCTCGGGAGTTTGAGGGCAAGAGAGAGGCAGACTTTGGTGAAAACTGCACCCGGCTGCCAGCTGCCCAGGAAGATGTCATAGAGGCGGTGCTGGGAGTGGGGTTTAAGTCCTCCTCCAGCCTGTCGAGTCTTGCCTCGAGCTCCACATTCCCGAGAATCGTGAGTCCAGCAGTCTCGTTGCTTGCACTTCTCTGCACAGGCCACGGGACGGCAAAAGCGCGGACGACCGACAGCAGATCATCCACACAAAGCCTTCGGTCCGATTCGAATTCTTTTCGAGGATTACACATGCTTTTTTCGAACTCCAGTAACAGTAGAGCAACCGCTGGCTGAGAAGCAGCCAAGGAGCTGCACAATGTGCTGAGCGAGATACCTGACATCATGCTCTGCCAGTCTGGATGCCAATCTCCTCAGCTCCAGTTTACGACACAAGCCTTGATGTACGAGAATGGCAATGGAGCTCCACAGGCATTCGACATGATATCCCCAGGAAGGATTACCAGACATTGCTAGACTGCTAGCTTTATCAAGCTTCGCAGGCCAGCTTGTGAAGGAGCAAGGGACAAAGAGGCAGCAGCCAAGCCCAAAGAAGAGAGGCATCAAATAACGGCAGACTTTCTGAAAGGGAAGGTAAGGGTCTGCTCACAGGTGAGTACCCCCTGAATCCTAACAAGCGAGATCGGCTTAGGAGGGCGGGCTGCTTCAGCCGGTCCATGAGGGCCTCCGACCAGGCATCATTGAAGGCAACCTTCGAGTTTTCTGCACCAGGCCAGTCCTTCACTCAAACAAAAGGGTGTAGGGACGAGGCTTCGGGTTTAGGGTGTAGGGTTTTGTAGGGATACAACTGAGCGTTGATCAATATTTCTGCTTGCGGAAATGGTTCCTTCGCGGATTATTCCTGTCCTTTCGCGGGACTTTCGCCCTCACTTTGCGCGACGACATGTTGGTGGCGGTAGCAGTCGCAGCAGCAGCAGCAG